CTCCCACCTGGCACCCACACATACACCTTTGAGATGTGCTCCCCATCCCCACAAGGACGCATCTGTGGTGAGGGTCATTTCGGGGCTGGGTGCATGAAACGGGGCTCCCTGAAGGTTTCCTGGAGCTTCCCACCACTCCAGGGAAGCTAGCACTTGTGCAGGGAGGATGAACCGTTGGGATTGGGGCTGCCGCTGCGGATGGAGCCTCTTGAGGAACCACAGCTGGTCTCTGTCAAGGCAGAGCCAGGGAGTGCAAGTTAATCAAAGCAAGTCCGACAACCAGTCCGGGATTCAGCCAAGAGTTTCAGTCAGCAAAACGTTTAAACAAGTCCTAAACAGTACACACAGCCAGAGTCAAACGTACCGGAGGTCAGAGTCCATAAATTAGGTGAAGTCAGATAAACGCAGAGCCGAAGCCGTAGTCAAAACACGATGCCGAGGGTCAAGAAGCCAGAGTTCCGAAGCCGAGTGACAAACTGCCAAGAGGTCAAAGGATCTGGAGCAAGGTCGCACAGAGCGCCTGGTTCTGTCAAAGAAGTTGCCAGCATGAATTGCTCAAAGCACCAGGTCTGTTGAAATAGCGTGCTGGCTCATTAACTCATTAACTCCTTGAAACAAGGTCCAGGCTGCTGTCAAAACTCAGGACTGAATGAGCATCTACCACGCATGCGTGCAGCTTTTCGTCTCTCATTCAGCTCCTGTCGTCTTTGGTTTCTGAGCCGGTTAACAGGTGGGGGAGATTCGGGTGGGGATGCACTTGGGCCAGGCAATGCCTGATCAGACTCAGGTGTCTCCTCAGGACTTACATTTTCCTTGGTTAAAGGTGCCAAGTCCACCTGTTCCTAACTGTCAGGCTCTGCTTCTGCAGCCACGTCAGGGGCAGGCATGACAGTCTCATCCATAGCCTGGCGAAAGCAAGTACCACTGTGGTGGCACATCTCCCTGTTTTCTCAAAAGGCGGATGAGAGCAATAATGTCGTCCACCCTCTTGGGAGGAAGAAACGCTCGGCAGACCTTTGTATCCAAAATCGCCCCGATGAATTGGACTCTTAACGAGGGAAGGAGCATCAACTTTTTTAGGTTCACTCTCAGACCTAGAGCACCTAGGGTGACCAATGTCAAATCTATATGGTTGAGCAGAGTCTCTCTGGAGCTTGCTACCAGCAGCCAGTCATTGATGTACAGAAAAATCCATACACCATGGAGACGGACGTAAGCCGCAATGACAACAATCATTTTTTGTGAAAACTCTGGGCGCTGTTGAGAGCCCAAAGGCTTTCTATTGAAAATGTCCGTCCCCGACCACAAAACGCAAAAAACCTCCTGTGAGATGGGTGGATAGTGATATGGAAATATGCATCTTGCAAGTCCAAGGTTATCATCCAAACCTCTTTGCTGAGAAGTGAGAGAATGCTTTGCAAGGTTGTCATTTGAAATTTAAAATAGGAGATGAAGCGATTGAATTTCTTGAGGTCCATAATAGGACGGAGGCCTCCATCCTTTTTAGGGACTGTAAAATAATGGGAATAAAACCCGTAGTGACATTGCGGCATTGGGACTGGTTCTATAGAGTCTTTTTTGAAGAAGATTCTGAATTTTTTCCAGGAGCGTGGTGGATGTTGGACTAAGCATGAAATTGGGGGCCTTGGGAGTCTGGATAAATTCTATGAGGTACCCCTTCTCGATAACAGAGAGTACTCACTGATTTGATGTTATTCGCTGCCAAGCAATCAGGTAAGGAGATAGGCGGGTGGGGGGTAAAGGCAGATGATGTGAGTCAAACGCTCTGTTTGGGACCCTTAGGGGTCTTTGCCCTAGATTGAGTGGCAGATGAAAACTTAGACTTGTGTCCGTAAGGGCGAGAAGACACAGTGGGTGACCATTGCCATTGCGCCTCCGGAGAGGACTTAAGAGAGGATCTGCAGGACCATGACTTGTTCCTGGATTTTGTTTTGCTTAGTTTAGGAGCTGATGTGACCCCGAAATTACGAGATGTCTTAATGCTTTTGTCTAGATCTTGCAAGATGGTATCAGTTGTGGAACTGAAAAGGCCCTTGCCCTCAAACGGGAGATCCTCAATGAGGGTTCTAGTATCCTGTGGCAAGGCTGTGGAATGTAACCAGGCATGATGCCTGAGGTTAACTGCCGAGGTGAGTGTTTTAGCAGCCACATCCAGAGTGTGCTTAGCTGCATTGAGCTGATGCTTAGCCAAAAGCATGCCCTCCTTTTGAATTCTGTGAGCGTGACAATTAAAGTCCTTGGGAAGGGTTGCAATAAACTCAGACATTTGCTCCCAGAGAGCAAACTGCTATTTCCCCATACATGCAGTATAGTTAGAAGCCTTGATGTCAAGTGCTCCAGTGGAGTAAAATTTTCTTCCAAATGAATCTAGCTTCCTTCCCTCTTTGTCAGGGGATGAGGAATGACTGCGTTTGCCTTTGGAAGAGGAGGTGATTACCACTGAGTTTGGCTTGGGGTGGGTGAATAAAAATTCAGCGCCCAGTTCTTGCACTTTATACATGTGATCTATTATCTGGCTAGAGATGGGGGTAGAAGCCAGATGAGACCATGGAACCTTAGCCATCAGAAGCAAAAGCAAAGTCATCGGTAAGGCGATTGCCGTCGAGGTGTCCATCTGCACGATATCGAACACGGAGTCTGTGACTGTAGGTAGGGGTTGTACAGTAGACAGGGTCAGCATATTGGCCATCTGCTTGATGGCCATAGGATTAGATCTTCCGACAGAGAAATTGGGAGATCACTTGCTGAGATGGCGAGGGTTCCACCGGAGGGTCAGGGTTCTCGTCTCCTGAAAGGGAGGAGGTGCCAGAAGAGGCAGAATGCTCAGATCGTTCGGAAAAAGAAATAGGCAACATAAGTGTCGATGGGATCGGTTCCGATGGATCTTTAAACTTGGTGACTATTGGAGGCGGTGGTTTGGCCGGTCTACCTGTCGATCTTGATGGCTAGGGTTTCACAAACTCCAGCATCGGGAGAAGGTCTCGATACCGAGAAAGTTGGGAGGAAGTGGATTGACGATCCCATTCCACTGTTTGGGGCGGGAACCATGGCATTCCACTTGTAAAAGGATAGGCCCAATACATGTATTGCCATTGCTGTTGATCCCAAGGGGGTAGTGGCAGATGGATCGGTCCCAATGGCTAGTCTTGATCGTCAGATCGACGTGGTGAAAGGCATACAAAGGTGCCAGCTCTGTGGTCTGAGTGTAGGCTTTCGACACTGGAAGACCAGGAGATCTGTGTTAAGTCCACATCGTGCTCAGAGTCAGTGAGCTGGGTAGGACGCAGTGAAGGTGAGAGGGGTACACCTTGTTGCTGCTCATGGCTCGTGGAGTCAAGTGAAGCAGCCTCACCAGGATTAGGTTCCGTGGCCCTCCGAGGGGTCAGCAGAATTTGCACAGGGTTTTTTTTCTTATGCTTCTTGTGCTTGACCGGCCGATCGTCCTTGCCCTCCCTGCCTTTTTTGGTGGGAGTATGGGCTTCGGACTGAGATGTCAGGGCTGAGCATTTCAGCATCGGGTGGTTGACATCGGAGTGATTTGGTATCAGAGACAACACGGCCATCGATCCTGAGGCGGGAGTAGACATCGAAGCATGTCCCGAAGTGTCCTGCGACAATGACATTGGTGAGAGAGCGAATTCCAAAAGTGCGATGCGAAGTCTAGCAGTCCTGTTCTTTCTCGTCTACTTTGAGAACTTCACGCAATGGGCACAGGAGTCCACTCGGTGCAATTCCCCAAGGCACAGAGTGTCCGTCGGGGGGGGGGGGATTTTACTGCCACACTTGAGGCACTGTTTAAAGAAACCCCACCTCTTGGCCATAGGCCAGGAGATGGGGGTGGTGAGAAGGGATCTGCCTAGCAGGGAGACCCAAATGAAACAGTCTGGAAAAAACAAAACCAAGTAACAATATTGCCCTTTCACCTAACAGAAAAAAACTCCAAAGAGAAGAAGAAAAGGCCCCAAAGCCAGAAAAATTACTGACGGAAGTGGAGAAAATCCTACCAGCGTGGCGGTCAGAAGAGAACTGGCGGGATTGTCGTGCCCCTCCCCTAGTCATGCGCAGTGGGGCCGACGCATGCCTGGGAAGTGGGCACAAAAATCCCTTTAGCTTTCTAAGAAATACCAATTGGGGTCAGCAGAGGCGCACTATATCCCAAAGGTGTGATGCACAGAGACCATGAAGAAGATCTTTAACTAACATTTGTAACTTCAAGGGCTTCAGTATTTTAATAAAGAAAGACCTGGCCACAAAGTGGACAACCAACAGCCCTCTCCTATTTTCTTATAATTAATTCATTTATCCTCATGATGAATGATGCTCCTTTGTAGTAGATGCACATACTGACAGATCAAGAGGCTCAGGTCCTAAAACAGTATTTTGTCTTTGCTTTTCTTTTGTTTCATAACATGGTGTATCCAAAGAGGAACCCATAGCAGTGCTAACCTTCTTAATTTTGTGGCACGACCTCCTGATGTCCCATGTCTTGTGGGTGTGAGAGACAGATGACATAGATATCTTGGGTGGTAAGCAGTGGTGTCTTAAGTGCCATAACGGCCAAGCTGAGAGGAACAGGGCCTGTAGGAAGGCTGAGAAGGAAGCATCAGCTTACTTGCTAGTGTGATCATCACCTCCCCACAGTACAACAGGCAGTAATGAGTCGGCAGAGGCGGCTCTACTGCCATGATGATATGGGCACCTTCCTACAACAAGAAATATTCTTATGGTACAGAAAGGGAAAGAAGATAGCTTGTGTGATCTAGGAGCACTTCCAAGAGCCCCTAACAGTAGATTATTAAAGAGAAGGAGGATTTCTGAAGCTCTACATGTGGAGTGGGGAGCTCAGAGGCAAGGGCAGAGAGCTCTCTTCCCTATGAGTTGAAGCTGGAAGGTTAGAAGCACCACTACTAAGAACAAGGGGATGGGGACATTTCAGACAACACAGTCCTTTTCTTTCTTCACTTAAACAGCCTTTCACATCACTTGGCAGCTGTGTCCGTGGGGTTGAACTTATTACAGTCTTCTTGACGATCAAAGAATAAGTTTGATTTCCTCATTTTAGTATGCAATATCAACAAGTTCAAGGGCAGCAAACGATTACAGAAATGTACTAATGATACACCTGGTAAAGAAGAAATTATAAACAAAGTACTAAAAAGACAAAGGAAACTTTAAAAATGTATGCTGAACTGAAGGGACAAAGTATTTAATTGAAAAGTATAAAATACTGATATAGGTGATGTCTTAATGTTCATATAGAAAGTGCAATAAATTGCAATTAAAACAAACAAACAAGGAGAGTAACTGTTTGCTTCTTTTTGCATAAAGGAGTCATAAAAGTGCCAGATCTGCTGGGTACAGTTAACTGATATCACTGTGGTTATTAATTAAACACAAGGTAGAATAACAGTGCAAGAAATTACTTGGAATTAAAGTAATTCTTTATCTCCATAATATTGCTGGAATACTAGGGATTTTTCTCATCTTCATACTGCCTACAGTAACAGAATCTGGGCACCTTCCTCCTTTTCTTTTTTTCACAGATGGGAAGAGTTCTAGGCAGAAAAGGTGCAGCTACTTTCAGGTATTTCCTTGGTATGAGTTCCTTGGTGAGTTCAACACTTTTCTTTTTGCCATTCAAGCTCTGTAAGCTAATACCTGACGGTTCAACACAACTGTTAACTTCTCCTTGGTTCTCTTTTAGTTGGTTTTCCAATCAGTTTCTCTGTAATCCACAACCAGCAGCCCTTTCTCTAACACATCCCCTTGTAATTTATCTGGAAGGAAATACATGTTCCACTGCCACATTGTGTCTTGAAATCACAGTTTCCACTTCTCAGCATGGGGGAAAACAATGAGGAACCAGCAAGAGGATGTTAATGCCCTAATGCACCACAGGAAGTTCAAAACAATTTAGGTGCATCTAGATCTCTGTTTGGAATTATGTCCCATTGACTGCAAATTCACAACAGTGGGATACTCAGCTAAGCAGGGAAGCCTCTCTAGTCACTGTAAAGCATGAGGCAAGATAAAGGGGCAGAATGTCATCATAAGACGTGAAATCAGGTATCTTATAGGTCATTATACTGAAACCAAATGTCTCTAATAAAGGATGACAAAATTGCCATTGAGAATTGTTTAGGTGCACATAATCACTCACTTTATTGGGCAAAGATTCCCATTGCTTTGGAACCAGGCATATAAAACTGTTTCAGACCTGGAATTGGTGGAGTGATGGGGAAAAAAATTCCTGAGGACAGGCGGGACTAGACCTCCACTGGATGACAGTGAGGACTCAGTTATCACTATATCTAATAGCCAAGTTACCCCCTCCGTGCGGATATCTATATCTGCACTTCGGGGGCACTTGGGGGGCCGGGGGAGGTTTGTGCACACGTGGGCCAGTCCCCACGTGTGCACAAAAATGCCAAATGTGGAAAAAAATTTCGGGGGGATGTTTAAATCCCCCCAAAAGTGCAAGAGTCGGTGCGCATGCGCACGGGCTCTGCGAAGGCCGCCGCCGCTTGCGAGGGGAACGGCGAGCAGCGAGTGAGGGGGAGAAGCAGAGCAGCGAGGGCCGATCGGCCAATCGGCCTTCGGCTCGGAGCCGGGGGAGGGGGTGGGGAGAGCAGCGAGGGGCAGCCCCAGACTGGCTCACCCTCACGGTGGCGGATTTTGCGAGCCCCCTTCCCCTGATTCTCTGCTTCCCCTTCTCCCCCACAGGCCCTGCGAGGACGCAAGGAAGCTTGCCAGGTGGCGGGGAGCGGCGGCGGCAGGTCTCCTCGGGAGGAGGAGAAGGCAAAGAAGCCTCCTCCTCCGCGGCCAGGCAGGGGGCGGTGGTTCCTCCAGGCTCGGCAGGCCTGCACGGCCCGCGTGCATGCCCTATCCTCCCCCTCCCCGGGCTGGCGCGCCAGGGGTGCTCTGGGCGGGCGGGGGGAGACAGCCCTCGCTGCCGCTGCCGCCTCCTCCCACTACCTCCGTCTCCGGGCTCCAGCCCTCCGGCGGCCCGGGGGGCGACCCCAGGATGCCGCCCTCCGAGGAAGAGCCCTGGGCTGCGGGGGGGGAACATAGCTTCGGCGAGCCGCACTGGGCATGCGCCGCCGCCGCCACCAGCTGGGCATGCGCAGAAGCATCCGCGAGGTGCCCAGAGCCGCTGGAAGGCAGTCGGTGGGAGTTCCCCCCTCGCACAAGAAAAACAGCCACCCTGCAAGGTGGGCCGGGCGGGGCCGAGAGCGGGAGGGGACTGGCCGGAGGGTTCTCTGGTTCCTCCCCGGCGCCCGGGGCTCCCCCTCCCTTCCTCTGGGGCGGCTTGGGGGAGCCCGGCTGCGGGCTGGGCGGCCGGGGGGTCCTGGGCCGGTCTCTCCCCCCCCCCCCCGCGCTGTTCAGTTGCATGAAGATCCGGCCCGGGAAGCTCCAGATCCGAGCCAGATCCGAGGTGGGGGAGGGGGTGGGAGAGAAGGAGCCGGCAGGCATTGGGGAGATCGAGGGGGGGATGGAGGAGACAGAGCTCTTCTCCCCCCCCTGCGAGTATCGCAGGTCCCCCTCTTGTCAGGAGTTATAATATCCTGAACTCGAACTTGTATGGTACAACAGTTAACTTCCAATGAACTTGCTGGAGCACATTTCCCATCACTGATGGACCACCATTTGTATCTCAATTTTTTAAGGTGAGGAACACAAAGTTGAGTCTTGTCTTTGCTGTCTCAAATTCACCAAACAAGTTTGCAGAAGTTTGTTTGTCTCTAGGTTTTTATTTGGAAAAAGGCTTTTGTGCTCACAGCCATAGCCAGTCCAGCTGAGCAACACTGATATCCATCTATCACAGTTAGCCTTGGTCATGAAGAGATTGCTGGCGGTCTTTTCCATCTCTTCCATTCTTGCATCCACTGAACAGTCCATTTCCGTGCTTCCAATAATTCTCTATTCCTCTTTGATTTCTACTAAATGGAACAGTGGTCCAGGCATCTGGGAGTCAGGTAAATTTAAGAGTGAATGGAAGAAGTTGCATTCTGGTTATAAGAAGTTCTTTGCAGTAATAAAGGTTTTATTACTGGATCAGGGCTCGATGCCTTGTTCAGGAATGGTCCAGCCCAGAATTCTGGCAGCACAGTACCTTTGGTTACTTGTAATACTCTCCTGGCAGCCCTCTATTGGACCCTTCACAGGTGCTACCCCAACTGATGCTGGAAAAGTGAGTTTTAAAAAATCTTTGATTTACATACTCATCAAGAAATCAAAAAATAACATGATGCCACTATTTACTCAGTCAGAATAGAAACAGATACAGTGTTAAGAGTTTGGACAGAAATGCTGAACTACTCAAACAGAGTGTAAAGGAAAACCGATCCACTTTAGCAAGAAGAAACATTATCCTCTGCATATATTTTTGTTGAAATGCCCTTCTACATGAGATGACCTATCAATTACCCTATATAAAAGTGGCTACTACATGCTAGGATTCAGAATCCTATGTATCAAAAAACCATGTTCCAAAATCACCAGGAGGAAAGTTTTAATGCTAGATGCTCCAGAACTTCATAAAAACTGCATGAATGTGAATAAAATCATCATCATACTTGTATAGTGATCATAAACCCTACACTTATATCCCTTAATGGCTCCCCAGCTGATATAAAGCCTCAAATTGTTAGGCAACTCATAATTTTCCATGGCTGTGAAACAAATGAAAATAGAGAATTAAATAACCAGTTTGGCCCTATTCATACAGTACACCAAAAGAATTTAGGAAAGCAGCTAGACAAAATAACTGTGTCATAATAGGTGATTTTAAACTACCCACACATTGATTGGGTCAATATCTGTTCAAGTCAGGAGAAAGAGACTAGGTTTCTAGATACTCTCAATGACTGTGCCATGGAGTAGATGTCACAGACCCTACGGGGGGGGTGGGGTGGCATCCTGAACTTGATACTAAGTAATGCTCAAGACCTGAAGAATTGTGCACACTCATAAATGCTTATACTCAGAATTAAAATTTGTTTGCCTTAAAGGTGGCACTGAACTCAAACTTTGCTCAAGACTTGGTGAGAGATGTAAACATGATAGCATTGGTCGGGAACAGTGACCATAATGCTATTAAGTTGAGCATTTATGTAAATAGGGAGTTGCCCCAAAAAACAAACAAAACCACATTTAACTTTAGAAATGGTCTCAAATGAGGGGGACTGTGAAAAAGAAACTGAAAGGAAAGGGTCAAATCCCCTCAGGAAGCTTGGAGACTATTTAAAACTACAACCCTAGAAGCTCAGATAAAATGTCTACCTGTGCTGGCTCTGGCCAGTCGCCATGAACACAATATACTTAAGCTAGATACAAAGTCCAAACCAAGCCGAGAAACAGTGCCAGGGGTCGGAATGCCGGGAGATCAATCAGAGTTCTTAGGAGTGATGAGCGGAGGCTGGCAGGTGGAAAAAGGTCCAAGACTGCACGGTTGAATCTGCACCGAGGCAGGTGAGTGTGGCTGCTTATGACCAGATCCTCCCTTCCCTGGGAGGCAACCTGCATAGACTCACAGCCCCTCAAGTTGCCTTTGCAACAGCTGAAGTCTGGCACTCCTTCTCTCCTGCACATCCAGATGCTGGCGTGCCCTGCGTATGGGACGTTCAGGTGAGCTAAGTGGGGGCTCTGGCCTCGAGGTGACTCCAACTGGGGGTGCTGGGCCAAGCTCTGGACTAGGCTCTTCCTCTGACTGTACCTCAGGCTCTTTGCCTTGCTGCACCTCCTGCACAGATTCCAATAACAGTACTTATATGAAGACAATTTCTCATTTGTATTTCCTCATTAGTACCCAAAAGAAGCACTTTCCCTTAATATATTTTTAGTCTTTTTCAAGAGAATTTATTTTCCCAATCTTATAAATACCTTCAGTTTAACTCTGATTTCAACACCTAGCTGAAATAACATACTGCTGTTGAGTCTGTATGAATGAGGCCTGAAAATACCCATCAAGCAAATAAATTCTTGATGCCAAATTCACTGTGTTTTTCCAGCATTGATGAACAACCTGGATCCTCTCACCTTCTGCAGAATTAATGAAAAAAGCTTGTTTTCTAGCTGATGTGATAATAGATAGGCATAGATAACAAAATACTCTATAAATGGGACTTACATCCACCATGTCAAGGATATGAAGTAAAGGACATACAGCCACAACAACATTGATATTTTATGTTCTTCTTGTCTTAACAGACTTCTAATAATTTTAAATTTGTAACTAATTAACATTCAATCCCCCCCGGCCTATTCTAAGCTTTATATGGAGGTGGCTTGAAAAACAACAAGAGGATGCTGGTAACTCCTAGTGAAGATATCTGTTACACACACACACACACACACACACACACAAACCCCTATTTCATTTTTTAAAAAAAAAACCTTCACATGGTCCCAAATCTAACCTCCTTGCAGGAAAACAGGATTAAACTTAGAAAGTAATTTAATAAAACTATACAAGAGAAATGACTTAGCCATTAAGGACAATGAAACACTAATGCGTTTCGTAACTAGCATCTTACCAACTGTAAAAGGGTCATTGCACATGTCACTTCTATTCCCCTTCCAAGCCAGCAGGTATTCGATGCCGACGTGATCTGCCGCTTCTGTATGACTGTTAACTTTCACCATCATGTTATGAGCTTTCCCAATGCCACAATATACCTTTGTTTCATTCACTAAAGGCACATCACCAAGAACATTTGCAGCACAAAAGGCTTGATCAAAATATTCACAGGCTTTGGAGTAGTTCCCCTAATAAAAGAAAAACATATGCTTCTCAGTTTTTAAATCTTTAGTTTTTACAAGGCTGTAGTTTGTTGCCAATTAAATTAGTGAACTATGTAATTCTGGATGCAGAAAAAGTTTACCTTGCTGTTTCAATAACTTCACATGTAAAACAGAGTAAATATTAAATACCATACATTTTTAAAAAAGAGCTAGAAAGAGGGCAGCAATAATAATGGATAATTTCTCTAGCCTGGTTTATATAAGGTAAGACACACTGACTGGGTAGCACACCCACATCTGTTTGTGAAGCTTACATTTGTATCATTATTCACTGTTAAAAACTCAGCCCCCTAAAATCCTGAAAAAATTAAGTTGTGCCTAGAGAATGATTTAAATCCAGTTATCTTTTGCTGAATTCATGGTGTCAGCATTTATCTGTTTGTGCAGTCTATATTTTGTTATGCATACAAAGCATCCCCTGTGTAGGTAATGCCAGTAACTTTCTTCCTTATTATCTGCATGCACTTGGGCTACTTCACATATCATATTATTACATTTCATGCAAGTAACTTGGTGTATACAGGGAAATATGTGCACAATAACTGTATGCTTATTAACATGCATATGATACACAGTACATGCCCTGGGAAGCAAGAATTGACTCTGCTCTCCCTTCTATGTGTACATGCATGATACAGGTGCATTTGCCATACTTAGTGTGTAAAGCGATATAGTTAGTCGATAAAGAATGAAAATTTTATCTCTCCTACATTTTCCTTTCTTTAAATTGTATGAGTCCAGTTTATATTTCCTGAATACTCATGAATGGGGTATAGTGTATGAGAGTGGGGTATAGTGATGAGAGTGCTGGACTAGGATCTAGGAGACCCAGATTCAAATCCTCACTTTGCCATGGAAGTTTGCTGGGTGCCCTTGGGCCAGTCACACACTCTCAGCCTAACCTACCTCACCAGGCTATTGTGAGGATAAAATGGAGGAAAGGAGAACAATATAAGTTGATCTGGGTCCTCACTGGGGGAAAGGTAGGGTATAAGTTAAGTGAAACTATAAATTAATATACTAATGGAGTGCTAATATACTAATGGAGAACTGCCAGAAATACAAGCTGGGTTTCGAAGAGGTAGAGGAACTAGAGATCAAATTGCCAACATTCACTGGATTATGGAGAAAGCAAGAGAGTACCAGAAAAACATCTACTTCTGCTTCATTGACTATGCTAAAGCCTTTGACTGTGTGGATCACAACAAACTATGGCAGGTCCTTAAAGAGATGGGAGTACCAGACCACCTCATATGTCTCTTGAGAAACCTGTATAAGGGTCAAGAAGCAACAGTTAGAACCGGATATGGAACAACTGATTGGTTTAGCATAGGAAAAGGAGTACAACAAGGATGTATATTGTCACCTTGCTTATTTAATATATATGCAGAGTACATCATGCGAAATGCTGGCCTGGATGAATCACAAGCGGGAATTTAAGATTGCTGGGGAAAAGATCAACAACCTCAGATATGCAGACGATACGACTCTAATGGCAGAAAGTGAAGAGGAGCTTAAGAGCCTGTTGCTCAGGGTAAAAGAGGAGAGCGCAAAAGTGGGCTTGAAGCTCAACATCAAAAAAACTAAGATCATGGCATCACTCCTTGGCAAATAGAAGGGGAAGTCGTGGAAGTAGTGACAGACTTCACGTTCCTGGGATCCCAGATCACCGCAGACTGTGACAGTGCCTGCTCCTTGGGAGGAAAGCGATGGCGAACCTAAACAGCATGATAAAAAGTAGAGACATCACCCTGCCAACAAAAGTCCGCATGGTCAAAGCAATGGTATTCCCAGTAGTCATGTATGGCTGCGAGAGTTGGACTATAAGGAAGGCCGAGCGCGAAGAATAGATTATTTTGAACTATGGTGCTGGAGAAGGCTCTTGAGAGTCCCTTGGACTGCAAGAAGATCAAATCAGTCAATCCTAAAAGAAATCAACCCTGACTGTTCCCTGGAAAGCCAGATAATGAAACTGAAGCTCAAATACTTTGGCCACCAAATGAGAAGGGAGCACTCGCTGGAGAAGACCCTGATGCTGGGAAAGATTGAAGGTCAAAGAAGACGGGGACAGCAAAGGATGAGATGGTTAGACAGTGTCATAGATGCAACGAACATGAAATTGAGCAAACTTCAGAGGACGGCGGAAAACAGGAAGGCCTGGCGGGATCTGGTCCATGGGGTCGCGAAGAGCCGGACTCGACTGTGCAACTGAACAACAACAAATGGAGTGCTGCCATGTCTGATGCAGAAGCAAAGGTAGCTAAAATACAGTGAAATAAAGGATCTGAAATCCTCCTCAGAAAGTTGAATTGAGATTGATTTAAAAACTAGACAAATCTGAACTGCTGTTTGAATTACCTGATACAATGTTTTAGCTACTAATTGAGAATAAAGGTCTGATTAAAAAATTTTCTAAGGGCCAATGTGACCTCCAACAACAATTATTTTTTAATTTATAAGCACATAAAATCCATATTTGGGCTTGTTTAAGCAACATGGACTAGGAAGCAGCAGGAAACACAAATATTTGCTGCTTTAGGACTCCAATTTGCTATAGGATCTAGATGGAGAAAGTGGAACAGGGCAGCATTCCTATGCAATATAATGTGGGACCACACCAGAAAAACCTCAGTAATAGCGGAACTTACTCTGGAACAAAATCTCTGATCCCATTTCAATTGGCTTAGCAGTTCTTTCATTTCCTTTTATACCCTTAAAAGATCATTGATTCACAGATCTTGAGCAGCAGAAGATACTTGCTTCTTCTTTCTGCAGGCTCTCAGGATCAGACTGCTATAATCGATTTCTAGGCAGTTCTCAAAAATAACTTGGATCCAAAAGTGCTCTTCAGTGGCATAACAGTACTTATCCTAATAGGACAGCACTTCTGTTGAAACAGACAACCCTTGTTTTTTGCTGATCATCTCTCCCACCGTGGAGCCCACTTTTTTCCCTCCATGTTGTTCAAAAGGCAGTACCTTCCTGTCTTGCTCTCTTTACTTGCAATACTCTGGGTCTACCCCTGATGTCTAAGTACTAAAAAGTCAGGGTTTTTTAAACACACTGTATTACATTTGCTGACTGAGCTTCCAAAGTTAATCACAAGCTTTAAAATTTGTTTTCCCTTATGTCACCCAGGGCTTTATTTCTGGGGGAATGAGCTGGAACAGAGTTCCAGAACTTCTTCGACAAAACTCTTTAAAAAATGTTTAGAAGTTCATGAGTTTTCAGTATACATATTGAAAACTTCACTTCCCTCTTGAAAGTTCCGGCACCTCTTTTTCCAGAAAAAAAGTCCTGATGTCACCTATGCTGTAATCTACTTCTAATTTCTATCTGAAAGTCAGGGGTGTAAAAATGTGTTTATTTCAAGACTCCAAAGTTATTCCAAAGATGTGCTGTTTCCAGAGTAGGAGAACATGGAAATACAATTCTGTTGAAACTGCAGATATCTGTCAATACAAATATTTACAATCAGGTTCTATGAATATAGATTCACTATAGATTGCACTAATCAAGATAGTACTTACTCTTTCATTGTAAATGTTTCCAAGGAATGTACATGCATCCACTAAGCTATGTGTCAGCTGAATGTTCTTGGCAATATTCATAAACTTCTCCAAGTATGTAATAGCTTCATCTATTTCCCCTAGACTGAGAAGAAATAAAAGAGAATACACATTAAATATACAAGTCCAGATTTCCATGAATAACTACAGTTGAGTGTTGAACAATCAATCCATATATCAACTTGACAGTGAAAATTCTGTAGCTTGAGATTTTTGTGTACTTTGGAGAAAAACTGCAAACTGCAGCAACTATTACAAACTAAGAGTGTGTATTTGGATCTACCCGAGCTGAAAATATACCCCAAAATACCTTATCAGTATTTTCCAGGTATATTTCAGCTTCCTAAATGTATCTGGGTTTTCTTGGGGGGGGAAAGAAATCCCAAGAAAATCTGCTATATTTGTGAATTTCAGGTAGATCTGAAAACAGCAGAGAGGCGGGAGCTGTTTGTTGGGCAGGCCTATGCACACAGTCCCTTTAAACTTTAAAGGGACTGCAGAAGTCAGCCTGAGGATCAGCTGGAGTGGTGGGGAGCTGAGAACTCCCTACCACCTTGGCTGTGGCTGGCTTCTCTTGCAGCCCAGTTTAAACTAGGCTGCAAGAGAAGTCAGCCCAAAATCAGCTGGGGTGGTGGGGAGTTGAGAGCTCCCTGCTGGTGCAGCTCTGAGTTACTGTCTCCTACCGCCCAGTTTAAACTGGCTGCAGGAGAGGCCAGCCCAGCTGGCATCATGTCCCTGCAGGGAGCTGATAGCCCCCCTGCAGGCACAGTTCTGCAGAAGAGGCCAATCCAGTCCCAGGATTGGGGTGATATTTTTTTTACCAGCATTTTTCAGTTTGGGTCTATTGAACCCCCCAAATTTTTGGCGTTTCTGAAAAATCCCGGCTCCAAATACCACACTGTTATTTGGATTCAGGATTTTTCGGGAACCCCATTTTCCCCCAGACCTGAACATAAAAATACAAGTAAAAAAAATTGCACACCCCTACTACAAACCATGAAGGCTCCAGCTTAGAAACATGATGGCCTCCTTCAAGAGATAATGGCTGCTCTTTATGTTGGTAAGCCAAGGGTTGCTGGTGTTACTCTACGTACCTTATCAGCATGGAATTGCAGGTGTCACCTCTAATTCCCAATGCAATATACACAACCTGAGGTCACTCCAAAATCTAAGCTGAATATTGGCCAATATACACTGACAAGACATTTGCACATTTTTTAATAAAGGAAACTATATTAACAATAAAATATCTTACTCTGCTGTAACAACACACAGGCCCAACACTAAAGTTTGTGAGTGAAAAACATCACACACTTTCTTTCATGTGTCATGGCTGGTGACCTTAATATTAGCTGTGAATCTGAGTGTCTAATGTAGTCGTGCAGAAATCAAAATGTCAAGCCACCAGTGAACCAAAAGCTCACATCCTAATATAGAAATGTGTAGTAACTAAAGTTTATATATAATGATAAAAGGCATTTTTATCATTTAAAAAGAAACTTTGTACCAGTTTTCGTGTAGTAAATGACTGTGTTTTAAGAAATAAAATGTATAATATGCAAACAAAAATGTGCAGAAATATGGTACATTGTGCCAGTGTCCTCACTCACATGGGATCAACAAAAATAGTAGGACATCTGCAAAGCTGTGTGATACATCCAGGTGACTGAAATGCAGCAAACTAATGCTACAAGCTGAAAAGGTACCTTAAAATTACCTAAAATTAAAATGCCCAGTTTTATGGTAAAATAAAATTGTTTATAAACATTACAATTCAGAACAGATGGCAACTGAGCATCCCTTGTAATGTAAAACATTGCAAATATTTGCCACATGTCAATAGGTTTCTAAAGTTTAAAATCAGAGTCACCTTTTGAAGCCTATTTTTTCTTGCAAAGGAGAGAAAACCAAACATTTCGACATTGAAAAACTGAACTGATTTATATAAGTAAAAGGACAAGGTTAAAATGTTAGACAAATATTAATTCCAGATTTTCTAGTTTTCTATATGCAGTGCACAGGTGCAACTTGAACAGCATATTATATGGTATAATCATTAAATTCATTCAACCAGACCTTAGAGAGTTAAAAACATATATTCTGAGGAAAAGTACTCCTCGGTCCAAAGAATGAGAATGAAACTGTGCAGAATATTTGTGTATCAAGGTGATTCCAGTTTCCAACTGGGAAAACAGGACTGTTAACACCCTCATCCCCTGACAACTGTCCAATTATGTATATCACACTTGGCCTACTGTTTGCAGTAGAAGTAATCAATAAAGGATGTGGTTGAGTGAACATAGATTTTGGTTGAACCAATGCATGAAATCTTAATCATTTACTCAGAGTGGAGAAATCAAATAGAGCAGAGATGAAACAGCCACTGAGGGGTTTGTTGATTGTGCCACCAAGTTTGTGGGCCAGAAGCTGAAAGTAATAAGTCAAATGGAATCAGTGATAGGAGAAAATGTAAAAAGGTTTTCTTAATGTAATGAATTAATAGAAATGTTTTTTGATGTATTTTTGGCCATAGCAACATTCTATGCTTCATTTATAGAAAAAAGCAAAGTTCCTAGGTCATGTTGTTTCTATAAAGCAAGAAAAGAAAAGAAAATTAATGTAATTTATAATCAAAACATAATGTGCAGACTCAAAGCTTTATTTCTACCATGACAGTAAAACTCTGCTACAGGAGTAAAACTGGACCCAGAAGGTCTACAGATTTATCATACGGGAAACAACTCTAAACAATAGCAATATCATTTGAACATCTGTTTACCCTAACCAAGCTTTTCTTGTTCTTTTAAATAATTATCCATTTTGTTTTATATTTACTTTCCACAGCTTCATGGAATCTGAAATATATACTACATGGAATGGAACTATATTTTATGCAGTATTTGAACCCTCAATTTCAGAAGACAAAAGCAGCGGCTTGATATCAGTAATTATTGGGGTTTTCCCCCATTTCTTTTTATTGGTATTTTGTAAGATAAAGTGTAAAAACATTGTGGAGTTTAGAGACATAACAATTGCAACATTCAAACATTACGTAGTCAAATATGGTGGAAATTGATAACGCTAGTTAAACTGTATAGTACATGAGATATTTCTCGTATTAGAGTCTTATTACTAGATGATTAAAATAATTTTAAATTACATTCAGCAGCTTTCTCTTAAGTTTAAGAGAGTCAAAGTTAAAATATTGTAATAAATGGTGCAACAAAAACCAGGTTGTATCTATGTTAAACAGGTAGTGAGAAGGTCCAATTATATTTCATGAGACCTAAAGCCTTATGGTATCTTCCACTTCTTCACCTTTTTTCCAGTGCTCTGAAAAGGGTACAATCTGACTCTAAAAATACAATTAGCAAGGGGTGCTCCTACCGATTCTGGAACCCTGGGAAAAAAAAAAATCAAAGTTGTCTCCACCCACCCCCTATATTTCAATGCAACCCACTCCTCTCAGCTGCCTGGATGGCTGGCTCAGTAGGTAGACGAAAGCTGTGCAGCACCCCATCTCGGAGTCAGAACATGGAAGAAGCACAGGGCACTGTGAGATTGCTGTTTGCATTGCAATTCACAATTGCAAATTGCAAGAGAATGTGTTGCCTGTTGGTGGGATATGGAGAGACCAGAAGAGCTGTGAGACTACCAGAGTGTCCTGAAAACAAGCAGCAGACTTCCTCTTTGCTGTCAGGGAGACAGGGTGACACAGGTTAACCCATACAGGAGAATGAGGTGCAAGACGCTAAAAGGCCAGAATGGACTGTACTGGCAGATTGCACATGGGTCTCAATTTTCAATGTTCCTTCACTTTAAAAACTCCATGCAAACTGAAAACTAGCACAGCAAGGAGAAAGCTTCCCCCCACTCCACAGTACCAGTTTTCTATTTGCAGGGAGCCTTTTAAGATAATTCAAAACTGCAATCACTGCATCAGACCTGAAGTCTGAGTAAGCGTTTCACTCTAACCCCTCATTCTGATGAACCTAAGAGTAGACTTGCTGGATCAGACGAATGGTCACTCCCCAACCCAAAGCACCCCAGCATACCTCCTTCACCTCCCCACACAAGCCTTCCTCAGAAATCCACCCATTGTGTCACGGCTGTTTCTGCTTCTGTTCACCTTGACATGTTCAAACTGCCTAACTACTTGCTACTACCTGCCCCTCCGTACCCTGACTCTGCTGAGCCATGCTTTCCTCCCAAGGTGCCACTGCACACTGATATTGAACGCTGCATATCATTTTCCTCTGCTGGTTGCTGCTGTGGCTGTCTTCCCTCCATTCGATCAAGCAAGCTGTCAAGCCAGGGTCCTCCTACCACTTCCTGCTAATTGGCCAGCCTTCCAACGTAAGGAGATACGTATTTGGACTTGCTCTAGATTTTAGCTCTCAGCTTGGCCATCATTTGCAGGAATGGCCATCACTCAGGCCTGCCCCTCCCAAGCAGTGAGAGGGAGCAATAGAACAACTTTTGTATAAACTTGATGGAAATTTTCCTACATGTCTTATCCCATTCCCTATGTCCTTCCCTCCTATAACGTTATATATAATAGGGAAAACCTAATAAAAATCTTATAATAATAAAAAAACAACTTAAGCCCACCCCCTGTGTGTGTCAGAACGCTTTCTGGGTTGCAACTGGCGAGATCATTTTTTAGGAACAGCTTTGTTGCTAGGGTTGCCAACCCCCAGGTCCAAGCAGGGGATCCCCTGCTTTTGGGGGCTTCTTCCTGCTGTGGACCTGCTGGCCAGTGGGGAAACCCTGCTCCTAAACAGGGATGTTGCAGTGTGATGTCACTGATGTGATGATGTCGCCTTTGCGTCCGGGATGTTGTGCGGGGACGCTCTGGTTTTTGGGCAAAACTCTATGGCTTGATGGCAAATTTACCATAGAGTTTCACCCAAAAATCAGAGTGTTGCCCCCGCTTGTTGCCACTGAAGAAAGAGAGAGAGACAGAGACAGAGACAGAGAGACACAGAGAGAGAGAGAGAGATGTTAGGCTTTACCTTCCTGGATTCCTAGCCCCTCCCAGCAGCTGCATGGCAGTCAGAGGCCCTGGGCAACTGCCCTGTTGCTAAGACCACTCCTGCAGGCAGTCCAGAAAATGACTGTTTCCATTCTACTCTTATAATTAAATTTGCTTCAGATACTGAAAGTAAAAGCAGTTCCAAAACAGCAAAGAGATTGCTGGCATAAACTTTCATGAGCCAGAGTATTTGTTAGATACAAAGTATTATATTCGGTTGAAAAAAATATGTATTTACATCTCCCAACTGAATGCAACACTTTCAGTGTGTGTGTGTGTGTGTGTGTGTGTGTGAACACACATACAAAGAAATACTAATATGCAAACAGAAGGGGAGGGAAGTTACTAGAAAGGGAAGCTAGAAGGCCCAGCATTTAAACACTCAGATTGAGGATGCACTGGGGAGGGGCTCTGGCTCAGTGGCAGAGCACCTGCTCTGTATGCAAAGCTTCAGTCTTCAGCATCTCCATTTAAAAGGCTCAGGTAATGGGTGATGTGAAAGACCCCTGCCTGAGACCTTGGAGACCTACTGCTAGTCAGATTAGACAGCACTGATCTTGATAGACCAATGGCTTGACTCAGTACAAGGCAGCTTCATACACAGATGTGTATGCACTGCAGACTAGAGTTGAAAAGAACATCCAGTTGAAAGAGTAAATGGTTTAATCTGAGTAGATGTTGACCATTCCTAAATTATGAAGACCATATTTAAGTTCTCTGTTGGGAAACACAACATACATTAGAAGGAATGCATGTTCCCAAGAAAGTTTTAATGTGCTGGCTCCTATAGATAATATGGCTGGCCTGGGAAAGGGCTTCTGCTTATTAAAATGCAGGTCAGTCTTCTGGATTAAGAGTGAATGATTCCTGAATTAATCACTGAAAGAATTATTAAATATTTGAACAGACTTGACCCTTCCCAATAAGAAACTGAGAGGCTATTATACACTATTCACATTTCATGAATAACTCTGGTCCTGACATACAGAACAGAAATCTTCTCTTTCAAGAAGAAAGACTAGTTTCAAAAAGCAGTGCTTCAATTACCATCCAAAAGCAAGACTTTATCAATCAATCTCCTTAGGATATGATCACTGCTAGATGGTTGCTTAAAAAAAGAATCCTGTCAAAGCAATCACAGTTTTTTTAAAAAAGGATGTCAATTATAGCAATACTATTCTCCTAGCATATACTTGCCTGCAATTTATTGCCTTAGCTTCCAAAACCTTTAAAACCTAAAGGCCTTGGCCTTTATGTTATCAATAGTCTCTGGCAGATACTTAGGGAACAATGTATGAACTCCAATTCAGTGATTTCTGTAAGCAGCTATGGAACCATACACATACACACAAAAGCATACAGCTTATTCTTAAGATTCTGAATTCATTTCTAACATAAATCTTATCATAGCTTTCTAGCTTCCCAGAGTAGACCTAAGTGGAAAATTAATAAAAAACTACATTGATCAATGAATACTAACATTGTCATCATTGCAAAGATAATTTCACTAATAACTGAGTAATGACAAAAAGTTTTTGAATGATCTCATTATGTGGAATTTTCTAGAGTCTTCCCAGGCCACAAAAGAAAAGACATAAAGGTGTGTAAAGCCCCACCTCCACCCCAAGAACCTGCTTCTTACCTTTTCTGAAGTGAAATCCAGGAGTCTCCCAGAATAAAATTGTAACTGTAATCTGCCCAGAAAAGGTACTCAAGAGGTCTACCAAGGTCTCCACAAATTAAAGCTTTATCATTAATTTTATAGGTATATATCTTTCCCACTCCAAGCCCCAATGTGCCTGCAAGCCACTGTGGCAGACTTGAGGAAGCCACAGCATCTAGTTCAATTGTTAGAATGATAATCACCACAGAAATAATGTTAGAAATAAAATAACCACAGGACTTCAGGGAGGTAGGAACCCTCCTCCACAATGTTTTCCTGAGCTGAAATGGCTGCAAGGTACATCAGAGGAGATCCAATGGGACAAATAATACCACCTGTGCCATTCTGACTCAGAAAAACAGTTTATGGGGAGGAAGGAGCCTCTCTACCCTCTGCCCTGCTGTCCTAGGTTGAAACAGGCCCCTGGGGCAATTTTAAAAGGAGTTCCAACCAGAGAGTCCAAACCCCAAAGTGTCTGCAAACCTGGGTGGACTTGTGGAAGCCGTAACATCTAGTTCAGCTCTACAACTGGGTCCTTCTACCGAAACAAATGGGGCTGCTGTGTAAACAGGACTCTGTATGTAGATCAGACAGTATGCTGACCTGTTGACTGGGATGCCTGTGTAGAATTTATTACCTGCAAACTAAACAACTAAATTATTCTAATTTACTGGGAAAAACATTGATTTCCACCAAGTTGCAGTTGGATTTCAAAGCATATCCCACCAAAATCCATATTTTTATGGTGTAAAATTACAATATGAAATTATGGAAAGAGAATTATATTTGCAACAGATGTTTAGTCATGTTCTGAAAGCACACACAGCCTCTTGCTGAAAGAAGCAAGGCAGAACAATAAAAAACAATAACTTCTGAAGAATTCTAGAAAGGTTATACAGTGGCACATTTACTGAGGCATGTTATAATTTTCTGTGCATTTTGTTTTTCAGCCAGCAAGGGATGCCAACATGTCTATTTTCCAGCCATGTCTTTAAACTTTTTGAAAGGCAAAATAATAAATCCAGCTCCTAACATTTATAAAGAACTGCTTTGAGGGTGAACCCTCAATATATATAACATTTATAAAGAACTGCTTTGAGGTTCTAATATACCATAATTTAAACAAGTTATAATTAAAGTGTCACATGGTAAAGCAGGGCATTGCTAAAAATTTGAGCAGCCAGTAATAGGAAGCAATTGACCTCTAACAATTTAAGTCTTTCACAGCTGACTGAATTTACAGTGACAGCAGGATAAGGAAGCACCAGCTTACCTTACCAGGACTTGGGCTAAAGCTTGATATGCTCTGCCTATACCAACATAGTCTCCCAGTATTTTAGATAATTCCAGGTAAGCATTTAGCTTCTGTAAGACAAAAAATATATAGAAACATTATTAGCCATTTAAAAAAACAAACAAAAAACCTTTGTTCTCATTGCAGGACCAGATAAGAAACTGCTGTGTTGATAGTACCATCATTTGAAATTATTTACATAAAATACTTTCTTGTAAATATCTGTAAATACTATAAATATCTGTAAATAATGTACATAAACTTCTGATTTAATAAATATATCACTATGTACTGTGTTAGAAAGCCAAATAAATGGATTCTAGTTTACAAAAAAACTTACACAATTCACAAACTGTGCATACTTCATGGCATTATAAGTTAATATTCCTAAAATGACATTGACTGTATCACTATATGGCATACATCACTTATGAGCATTTTCCTTTTAACAGCCGTTGAGAGGATTTTTAGGTTTGTAAAGGAATCAATAATAAATTGTATATAATATTTTTAAAGGATAGACTTGGAAACAAGCAGTTGTACATCGACATATCACATGTACTTATAATTATCTTTGCACAAAAGTGATTTGTTAATATTCATTTGGAATGCAGTCTATTAATGTGATTTCTCCTGTAAGCAAAGGATTACATCTGCCACAGTGAAACATATGATCTTAATTTAATATAACACTGACATCATCTGTATTGCATAATTTCCCTTTCCATCAATTTTTTTTCATCAGTGAGTAGCAAGAAAGCATGTATATATAATGAAATCCCATTCTTTCCTTCATCCCTCTCAGTCGCTTGACCCAATCTATTACACACATGAGAACACAAGAACCCTCCAAAGACTATCTATGGAAATCTTTTTTGTACATTTTAAAGAAAGGATTAGCAAATGTTATTTACCAGGTTTGGATGGGAAGTGCAAGAGACCACAGTGGAGAAATCCTACACAAATGGTGAAGTTTGACAGGATGTTCAGATGTATCCCAATAGAAATGGATGTAGCCTGGGCCAAACTGACCTTTACCACAGCTGTTTACACATTACTCTACTGAGGTGATAAGGCAAGTCTTTTTAAAGGAATTGGCTAACAGGGTTCTGATCCAGGTCAGCTACAGTGCGTCACTTTAACCTTTGCACTGCTGGCACCTTGGAATGGATTTGGGTCAGCTGCTTCCACTGAAAATATTGCAATAACACATTGGGATCCTCAAGAGGGAAGTGACACAGCCAGTTGGAACCATTTGTTCAAGTGATATGAAAGATCCCTTGTTAGATAAAACTGGGACAAAAAGATACTATACTATATGGAATGCATCATGCAACTCTCAAGGTATTTTGTTTAACAGACTTTCTAGTTTTTTCCAGCCCTTCAGTTCTACAGTTCATAGTTTAAGCCACCATCATATTCTGCTGCTGTGATTCTGCCTTTCTGTTGTCCATGTGTTTCTGATTTAAGTAAGGCCACATTAGGATGACACTCTCGTTATCTGGAACATCTACACATTTAAGGAGAATAACAATTCTCAGTGTACACAATGGATTACATAGAAATTCTGTACCTTCCTTTCCAGTCTTACCTGTGAACCATGGTTTAGTGTAGATTAGAGCTACTGATATTATTGAAGTATCAGAAAAAAATTGATATATTTTTTTAAACTATATGTAATATTGTTTCCAGGTCTTTCATTCATGACTCTAAAATGAATAAACCCATGAAGCCAACTCAGGTGCTACTTAATGCATTAATGTCTACTAAAATTTGCATATGGCCTGAAGCAACTGATTCAGTAAATCTAATTAAATTCTTCTAACACTCCCACACATCTGTATTTTATAAAATGTAACAGTATTTTTAGATAGAGAGTTAAATCTAAATCCACAGCGTTTCTTGACTTAAAATAGAAAGAACTTTATAGAAATATTTGGATCTAATATTTCTGTACCAAAGTTAAATTTAAAAAAACCTTTCACTTGTTTTCTTTTAGTTACGAAATCACAACATTCTTCTAAGAGATGGGACATATCTGATTAAATATTTTGCTGTTTATCTCTCCCCTCCCTCAAATAATAAATATAGGTTCTCCATTTTAAGATGGCCTCTGGCAGCATATATTAGGGACAACAACAACAACAACAAAATACCTGTAAAGGAATAGGATAATATAGGTGCTTATGTGGCACAGAAATCTGTGTATTTCTAAAAAAGATTTTATTTTGTGGAAAGGAAACTGTGTGTGGCACGAGAAGCATGCTATTCAGACGCACCATGGCTATTCTATTTATATTGCATCAGCTCTAGTGCATTACACAACACATTTTAGCTTTAATTCTCTTTATAAATACTACATACACAAACCTTATCATCTTCTATCTCTATATTTGCCTAATGTTATCAGATTAATTTATATAACAAAAATTTGGGTAGTATATGTTTTCCACTATTCATATTGTTAATAGATATTATTGTGGTGGATGAAGGCTGTACTTTATAAAGTTTAAAAATTGGTTTTGGGTTAAGAAGACATATTCCGAGGCATGCGCATAGGCTTAAAACACTCTGTTTGCTTTCTGTGGGGAAAGCAGTTGTACAACAGAGCTAGGAAAATATTAGCAGCATGAAGGAATAATAGCAAATGTTGAAACAGGGGATTCCAGATGAAAAAAGAAACTGAGGTGCAGAGATTATATAAAATGAGGACAAAAAAACTGTTTTAGTAGAAATGTTTGAAATATTCAAAAACTAACAGAAGGATTAAATTGTACTTATGTTTTCTTAACATTAAATATGTATTTCCAAGGTCAAACCTCAAGATGGAGGTCAGTTTCAATTCAACACTGGATCTTGTGAACATTGTCATAAGGCAGACAGGGAAACTCTCTTCCTTACCACTGGTACATCAATCTGTCTTCATCCTCAGACACGATTTTTTCTTCTGCTATATGTTATGAGAACCAATGTAGAAATCTGGCAAGATAGTAGATATATTCTAATATACCACTTGTGCTGGGCTTTAAAACAACTCTTGCTGAAGTCTTTATGCATGTCTCATTACTGTCCAATTCTTCTGACTTTCCCAAAGCATTCTTTCATTTATGCATAACCTGCTTTCAGTCTTCATTAAATAACTGCAATAAATCTCCTCTAATTCCAAATCATTATCACTGGAAATTTTGAGGGTCTTACTCTAGCCCCTCCACACAAATGTCCATGGATATGTAAAATGTGCTACCCCTTTAATACCAAGCAAATTCTTGCCACTGTGCGTGCAAACATTCCCCATAACCATACCTGCCCTTTTCAAATTTCATGAACTATATACATAATTTGGCTTGTCTTTAACCCTTTATTTTCTCCCTCATAATTTTATTGATTTATATCATTAGGTAGTATGAGACTGCATACATTAACCATAATTGTTTTGTTTTTGCCATTAAGTCACAGCTGATTTATGGCAACTCTGTGGAGTTTTCAAGGCAAGAGACATTATGAGGTGGTTTGCTATTGCCTGCCTCTGAATAGCAACACTAGACTTCCTTGGTGGTCTTCCATCCAAATACTAACCAGAGCTGACCCTGCTTAGTTTCCACGATTTGATGGGACTGGGCTAGCCTGTGCTAGCCAGGTCAGGGCAACCACAATTACCAACTAAATACCAAATACAAGACCATGCAAAGAAAAAAAAATCTGTAGAAAAAAGCATGCCTCAGAATTCAGGCATACCAGTTTCATCAGAGAAGACAGCCAGTGAGGTTAGACTGTTGGACTAGGATCTGAGACACCCAGGTTTGAATCCCCACTCTGCTATGGAAGCTTGCTGGGTGATCTTGGGTCAGACATGCATACTCAGTGGAATCTACCTCACAGGGTTACTGTTGTGAACAAAAAATGGAGGCGAGAATGATGTAAGCTGCTTTAGGTCACTACTGGGGAGAAAGAGGAGTATAAATCAAGTAAAAAACAAAGGGGGGAAAAGAAAATGAGTATATGAAAGCAAACACTAACAAGATATACTGGGAAATACACTTTTAGAATGTGAATAATTTGTGCTTGTGGAAGTCTTTATTACTAAATGTTATAAGAAGTACAGCAGCATTCATAGATGGATAGGTAGATGGATAGACAGACAGATATACACAGGCAAAGAAAATGACAGTCCTTGTGGTTTAAGGTTGCTATCAGGGCTAGCCTAAATGATACACTGAACATAGGGAAATTTGTTTTCACGTGATATACTTATTTGTTTAGAGCAGTTGCCACATTCATTTGACATGTTGAGTTGGTAGTTCGCCATCTTAGAAATCCACCACACACAAAAAAAAGAGAAAAAGAAAAGAAATCCACCACAAGAATTCCATGGTAAGTTTACATGGTTGTTTTTTTTTAGCCTGTGGCATTCTGAATGTTTATATTACTCTCACAGGAAACAAGACTGTTCCACCAAAGATTTCAGATTCCAAACAATCTGAGAGAATGGAGACTATCTAGCCATTTTTGTTAATGCTTCTCCTTCTAAAATATGTCCTTTTCACCTTACTTTTTCGAAGGCTGGTGTTGAACAGGGCCAGACCTGGGCCTTGAGCCAGATCTGCATCAGTCATGCTGAGGAGGTTGGGAGGACCTTTATTGAGGATAGTGGTAGCTCTGTTGTTGGTAAGGACACTGGAAACCCTGGTAAAATGGCTGAAATCTGGAATGATATTTAGGCCTGTACAAAGGAGCATGAGCTTGGGTTATCCTGAAGGAACGAGCTGTTTGGTAAATATTAGGATAGAGTCGACCTAGGATCTTGTCAAGGGGTCTAGTGTCCATGGATGTTATCTGGATGTCTAATGATTGTGCCATTTGCACCATTTGTTCAGAGTAAAGATGCCTCACTTGGAGATATAAGGTCATGGTCCCCAACAGCATCGTCAGGGGACGGTTCCAAAGCTACCGCTGAACTGGCTATGGACCTGCATTCCTCCTCCTCTTTGGAACCATAAGCGATCAGTCGTGTGTGAGGAGTTCAGTATGCAGGTGTCTGTGGCCTTTCCATCATCTGCCCCATTGGTTCCAT